AGCATCTGCGGAATGAGCGGATCTCAAACCCCTGGCAGATCCCCGAAAAAGCTTTTCGAGTGGATAAAACTGTAGACAAAACTCGTTTCGAAACCGGTGACGTTTTGGGTCTGTTATAATGTATGCTGTAGTATTTCTTAACCTTGTATAATCCAGCTTGCTCTTGGAATGGAATGTCACTGAAGGATCTAGAACCGTCATGAAATGTGCTTTTAAAAGAGACATGTGTTTCTACAACCTCCCTCACTTCTGAATATATGCTGTGACTGTATGCGTTTAAAGTATGTAATACTTTCACCGAGCTTCAATAAGTATTGCTTTGCGTTCTTCGTCTCTTTATACGCATGGAAAAATATATCGCAACACTGTAATTTTCATAGTGTCAATATGCTACCATTAACCATAACAATGTAACCTATCTAACCTTTAAGAAAATCTGAATAAACACTCGTTTTGAAACCGGTGCTGTCTTGTTTCCTTGATTAATATGTATAATGTATACATTCGTACAGTTGTAACCTAATTACTCTTGGGATGAGATTTCAGTGAAGTATTGTCGTAGCGACTAATTCAGACAGCCATCGTCCAAATATTTCAGAAAGACCAAAAACTAAATAGCCAAGACCTAATTGCAATTATTTACGTTGACAAAGACAAAGGAATACGTTGAGTGCAAACTTCTTTGGTTGGCTATACAATACATGAGCAACATATCCACAAGACGGCAATGAGCTGGGTAGCCGGCTCAGACATAACTGAGGTAAGAGGAGTTCCAGCTGAACCTCAGGACGTTTCCTACGAGCGGCATTATCCTGCTCGCGGTCGTCCCTACACTGGCAGTCGGAATACCGGACTGGTGACACTATAGATATGAACATATATGTATAAGTATAGACAACAATGGACAGGCAAGGAGACAACAATGGACAGGTAAAGAAACAATAGCATTGTCTTGGACTAATTGATGGGATGGCAGGCACGGCCAAGGGGGTAACCAATTAAGGTTGTAAATGTCATACACGGTAATTAATGAAGGTGAGCGGTATGGGTTGGCTGACATGTCAATGTACAAGGCGGTGGTGATGAGGTTTAAGAATAGAGATTAGCGTCATATAAATAATTGCAATTAGTCTTACATGTCTTGGCTACTTAGCTTTTGTTCTCTTGAAATATTTGAATATTTGGATGATGGCTGTCCTCAATTAGTCGCTGTGACATGATCTACGACCGTCTTAGGATGTGGTTTTAAAGGATACATGGACGTATTTTTCATATTAATCAACACCACACTCACCAAGCATCATTCACGGACCTGCCTCTGATTCAGAACAATGGTTATAACAAACTGAATGTGGGTGGTTCCTTTGAGTTCCTTCTAACCACAGAAGACCTCTGCTTTTGTTTGGAAAAGCAATGCCACCCTCTGCGACCCGTCATGTGAAATTATCACATAAACATCAACAAGTAACCACATGCAGCTTAAAATTAAGCCCTCATTACGGGGATCAACACACACACACACACACACACACACACACACACACACACACACACACACACACACACACACACACACACACACACACACACACACACACACACACACACACACACACACACACACACACACACACACACACACACACACACACACACACACACACACACACACACACACACACCTTCTATGCTTCACAACTGCCATTGTAACCAACAATCAAATTCAGCTGATATCTTGTTGGGGAAGAATATTAGCGTTTCTACAACCTTCCTCTTTCCTTCTGAATATATGCTGTGACTTTATGTGTATAAAGTGATAATAAATTCATCTAGCTGCATTAACTAGCTTTTTGTTCTTTGTGTCTTTATTTATAAGCATGGACAAGAGAATTGCAACACCTGTATTTTTCATTCTTATCAATGTGTTAACATTAACCATACCAAAGGAACTTATCCAAACCTCAATTTAACTTTACTATCTGGATAAAGTGACACTCAAAGCATCTTTAAATGGCAAACCTAAAGCATAAAGAACGACAAACTGTAGTTTATTCAGAGAACCAAACATGGCAACAACACAAATCCTGATTAGTAGTGCTGATAACTATGATCTTAACCTTGAAGTTAGTGAACAGCGATATAATTTAATCTTATGAGTATTTAAGCTGAATATATTACTTTAAGAAAGTGGTCTAAAATTGTTTTATGAAATTTACATGCACTCATATTTATGAGAAGTTTTCTTGGTCATGGGATATTTTTATATCGTTTTACCGTCTGTAAAATTATGCCTAATGATTCGCCAGGTGAGCGTTTGTCACAAATGTTTAACAATATAATTTTCTTGTTGTTTCAGATAATCAATTCATATTTACACAGAGCTCCAGATAGGATTTAGCTCATGTGGGTACTGTACCCACTGTATTTTTTTGGAGTGGGTAATATCGCACCAAGCGATTTTTATAAATATATTCTGTACGCATTTATTTTAGGACATAAATTCTGCAAACAAACCACAGAGTTGGTCTGATGTTTTGATTATGATCGAGTATAATATGTTTTTAAGTTTTCGAGTTGCATTGCAATTCATCGGTCCGCTTTTGATCCAAACGGACTATATACCATGTTGATGTGCATAACATCAAACATTAGTCCAGACTCGATAATTTGAAGACCGCCACCTATTGCCAGAATATTATACTAATCAGTAATCCATGCTTGTTGTAAGAGGCGACTAACGGGATCGGGTTTTCATTCTCGCTGACTTGGTTGACAGATGTCATCGTATCCCAACTGCATGCGATGCTCATGTATCACTGGATTGCCTGGCCCATATAGCTAGAATATTGCGGTCTGTAAATAATCGAATCTGGACCACTCAATCCAGTGATCAACAGCATGAGCATCGATCTGCGCAATTGGGAACCGACGACATGTGTCAACCAACCACCCGATCACGTTAGTGGCCTCTTACGACAAGCATGGGTTACTGAGGGCTCATTTTAACCCGCCATTTTAAGAGGCGACTATAATGGGGTCGGGTGGCCAGGTTCACACCATAACCCCTACATGCCACTACCCCTACACTCCAGTACCCCTACAGCTAGTTAAAACAACACCTAGCATTTACCTGTCTGATATAATAGACTAATCCTAAAGAGGGATAATAATTTGGTTTTCTCTTTATCCTGATGTGATATGAGATGAGATGATTAAAACACTGAATGTAAAATAGACTGAAAAACTTGACAATTGATCTCAATGATGTGGTACTTTGTGATAACACATGTATTAAAGTCACTTTTAAAATCTGTCTTGTGTCATGTTGTGCATCTTAAGTGGACCAGTCCACTGTATGGAATAGGTAACAGGCAGGAGATTAGTTATGCAACAGACCATAAACTATGTTATTTATAAGCTGTAGGGGTAGTGGCATGGTTAAGGGGTAATGGGAGGTTACCGGGTGGCCAGGCTCGCCGGCTTAGCTGATGCATATAATCGCATCCCAGTTGCGTAGTCGAGACTCTAATATTTACATAGCGCCGTCATATAAATCGCTTATGACTGAGTGCAGTACGTCAAATACACACACACAAAAAAAAAACATAGTGAAAATCTGACAATATAATTTAACAGAGGTACAGATAAGCTGCGTAGCTGCGTAAATTACGCAAATATTTATGCAGAAACGCAATTCCTATTACGTCTATTGTGTACAAGTACGCTTGCATTTTTGTAAATACTCACTACTCAATAAATTTGATCTTACATGCGTACACACAAAAATGTCAAATCATAGCTTGCGTACCGGCACATAGATAAAATAACTGAGATAAATTGAGAGGTTCTATTTCAACACATGAACATGGCAATTTGCAGTCTTTCTCGTCGTTTCTCATATTACAGATAATATATATATAACAAACAGGTAAACCAACATTTAAACTTAATTATATTTTTACAATTAATGGACAATGGCAATATTACCCAATTGAGTTTGAGTGAGGTGGGTACAATTTATTTGGTTATTCAAAGGAAAATTAGGATACCCAATTGAGATGAACACAAGCGAGTACATAACTCAATGACCGAAAAAGTTATCTGCATTACGGCCATGGACGGGAAGGTTAGTGACGGTAACATTAGCTTACTAAGTTCTTTTGCAAATTTTCACATTATTCGGGGTCTGGTCGTTTATTGTAGGGTGGGAAGATCCGAAGAAGTGGTCATAAAGATATTACCAACACTATTACTCACAATACAACCAGCGTGTGTGCGAACCATTCGCGTGCGTGCATGTGCGTGTGCGTATGAGGATGTTGTGTGAGATTGCGCGCTTTCGTGCGTGCGTGTGTGTGTGTGGTTAGTGCGTTTTCATCATTAGGGACCGTTCATATTGTATGGCTGGAGGGATGGGTGGGGTGGGGGTGGGGTGGCGTGATGAGATGATTTTTATGGAGAAACATGTACAATGTAAATTACCCCCACCCTACCCCCACCCCACCCACACACACATACACACCCAAAACCATCCACCCCTATATTTATGTACAAACGAAGTTAGAAACCCCCCAACCCCTGCCCCGGATGTCATGTACAAAGTCAATGACCACCACAACCCTCTTCCCATAACGTTTTAAGCATATTTCTATTAGATTTTTAGGTACAAAATTGCTGACCCCCAACCCCTACCCAGTTAATTTGTACAAAATTGAGGACCCCGCTATTTCCCCAGAACAAATAGGGTACCCCCAGCCTTAAAATTATCAAACGCCCCACTACCACCACCCATCCCCAGCCATAAATTATGAACGGTTCCTTAGAATCAAATCTTTCACAATTACAGACGTAATTTAGAGGAACACAGCTCTGTACATTTCGTCAGAGACCATGTCTTATTATGTGGTCTCTGATTTTGTTTATTATGATTGCTATCATTCCATTCATCAATTCGTTTCATGAATATTTTCTATTTTTAACAAATTGCTATTTAACCAATGAAAATTCCCCTTACATACACACCGATTGGTGGTAAACTTCCGGTTTGGCTTGCGGCAAGAAAAAGCCGGGATAAACGATCAAAGGGAGAGTGAGTATAATGAAATAATTCTACTTCAGGATTAATTTTAAATCCGTCTTTTAGCTACTTTCATAGATGAGCGTTACTTTACATCAATTTAAGACACTATTATCTATCTTGGTTCGACTCATGAGTGTAAAAACAGTAGCAACTGTCCACAACCAACAACACTCATATGTGTAACTACTACTATCACATATATCGGTGCTTTATTACAGAATATGGATTTTTAAGAGCTGAGACACGAATTATAAGGTCAGTAAGAGATGGGTCGGAGCAAGACCTCATCTGGCGGAGGCCCCGGTGGAAGTTTGAGCCCAGGTCAGGAAACACCGGGGGGAAATGCAGGCCAAGTTGCCGAAATCAGAATCAAGGAGCTGTTAAAAGAACTGTTTGGACTCATACATGAAGTGCAGGTAACGCTATGCAAAACTGAAACACTTGACCTCAGTCTATAATGTCAGGATATAATTAACATAGTTTTCATTCTTAGAACGATGAATAAAGAACTATTCTCTCTTTTATCTCAGTCTGTCATACAGAGCCTTAAACAACATCCAAAAAAGCCCATGCTAGTCTCGAGTTAGCTAAGATACATAGCGTTCATGTTCATGTCAGTGAACGCTATGTATCTTAGCTAGTCTCGAGTATGGGGCAAGTCTAGATTACCACAGTTTCATGAAATTAACTTAGGAACCATTTCTTTTCTCTAAATACAAATCTTCTTATATTTAGGATACCCGTGAGGGTCCGGGTTAGAATAGTCCAGCACATTACTAGACGACTTTGCACTAGTTTGTTCTTCAGTAACCCATGCTTGTTGTAAGAGGCGACTAACAGGATCAGGTGGTCAGGCTCGCTGACTTGGTTGACTCATGGCATCGGTTCACAATTGCGCAGATCGATGCTTATGCTGTTGATCACTGGATTGTCTGGTCCAGACTCGATTATTAACAGACCGCCGCCATATAGCTGGAATATTGCTGAGTGTGGCGTAAAACTATACCCACTCACTATATTTAGGATACGGATACAAAGTATTTAGGAAACACAACACACTGATCAGCTGCTGATGTCAAAACATTTGGAGTGTAAAATGAAATCTACAAAGTGACTGTCAACAGGTTAAGCTGGTTAGGATAGGAGATAGACAAGGTTCAAGTTATCCAAAGCTTTGTGCATTAACTTCAGTCTCTGTTAGTCCTTACAGTAAGAAATACATGATTTGGATGACTTGATTATTGTCTGTCTCAGTTTGTCAGCATCATCTCGATACATATGTCGGCATGATTACTGCAGATATGTTCCCCACGCATGTTTCTGTGCACAAAATCATTGTGCAGAATGGTAACCAGGGATGAGTACATTCGGAAGTGTTCTGTACTTACTTGTTCTTTGACACTGAACATGGAACCTTTTCTTTAGTTTGAGACCAGTAAAAATTTTACTCAAATTTGAGAAGACGCAGGGAAATGAATTTCCCAGAATGAACTGAAATCGATATCAAACCCAAACATAGTAGACAATTTGAGTTTGGTAGATAGATTACTTAAGTTGTTTGATCTTTTTTTATTTTAAAAATGCAGTTGAGTTAAAATTCAGCTGTTTCAAACTACTACTGTCAAACTCAGGGGCCAAATTTCCTAAGGTTCTGAATCCACCTCTCACTGGGTCTTCTTTTTAATTTGAAAGGAATTATTTCTTTCCATCACAATTATATATATTCCAAATTTCAGAGACTAAGCGTTAGGTTAAGCATTATGCACTATCCACTCGTAAGCAGATGAGACAAAACTACAACTCAAACTGGTTCAGGTTGGGGAATATGGATTCTTCTTCTGTTCAGGGTACTATTGTTAGTAGGGTACATTTCAGTATACTGAACGTTAGGGCTGCGCAATATAACCGGTTTACCAGTATTTACCGGGTCAGACCTGAAAACGATACATATTGCGATACGCTGATCGAAAACCGGTATTTTGACTTGCATTCAGAAAACTTCGTAACACTCTGAAATCTTCGGATATGTCCTTGTTTCATTTGTGCCAAATATTATTCACATTTTTATTTTATCATGATTAACAGTTGTTATTAAAGTTTAATCAAGCCTAGTGATTTTGTTGTGTTTTTGCTCTATAAATCAAGAAGTAACTTGATTATAAGTAGTTTTTTGTTTAAAAATACTTCATGCAATATATTGCAATACATATCGCAATACATGCTTTCGCATTGCAATATATCGCAATATGAAAATTCTCTGCAATACCCACCCCTACTGAACGTAGCTGGGGTAGATCTGAAGTGCCTGACCATGCTTTCAGCATAACTTCAGTAGGGATAACCTAGTGGTTATTGCAAGTGATATTTTTAGGTGTTGATCAGTCAACAAATACACAAACATACTTGATCCTGTAGAGTATATTTCCGCTATTGTGTCATATTTTGGAACTTATTAAATATTTTGGAAATATTAAAACTCATTTCTCAAGTTGTGCTTCTACCATGGGTGCACCACCATTGACAACGATGAAGGCTTTTGTCTCATTTTTCTCTTCCTTTTTCAGAAAGAGCGTGACCGTAGTGAGCACAATTTGACCAATATTTCAAAAACGCATGAACGGATGCAGCAAGAACAGAGAAACAAATCATGTGAGAGTTTATCAATATTGTTTGAATATGGACTAAGGTGGCAGTGGGGTGAGATAGCGTACGTCGTACATTGCATGAAACCCAATTCTGGAGTTCCCGGTTGTTATATTGTTGAAATATTAACAAAAGCACAAAGCCATACTAACTCATCACTGTCATGAATTTGGTTAAAGTCATCATTCAGAGCTGACAAAATCTACAGTAAGAAATTCATTCCATTTCATTACTTTTGTTCTTGTTAATCAATTTCATGTATTTGAATATTGTTACAGTGTTAGTTAAGCTTGTCCATTTGCCTAACCCACTGTAAGTCCCCATGGTCCCTAGTATGGTGATCTACCTTCAGTTGTTGGCGATGTATAGCCTGTGTTTTATATAGTATTGTCTTCTTTGATAAAAATGTTTTAGTTTTACATGCTAGTTTTAAATTAAGAACTGTGATAATGTAGTATTTTACTGTCCTTCGATGGCAGGTTTTTACGTTCTGGATTATTTTATTGTAATATTGATATAAATGAAATTGTTCTCGTTCCAATATGGCTGAAATATTGCCAATGTGACGCTAAATATTAACTCACTACCCATTTGCATAACCTGCTGTAAACATGCAACCTTTTGTCATGTGCATATGTACATATTGTGCTCTGGTATGTACCATTGTTTTCAGAGCAAGCGTGTAAGAATAGAAAAAATACTTCTTTCAGACTAGATCTATTCATTAAAGTGGTTTCAACAGCATGAGCATCAATCTATGCTATTGGGATACAATGACGTGTCAACAAAGTCAGCGAGTCTGATCCAGTGGTAGATTAATGCTCATGCTGTTCATCACAGGATTGTCTGGTCCAGACTTGATTATATACAGACTGCCATCATATAGCTGTAATATTGCCGAGTGCAGTCCGTGCTTCCTCTGGCATTTTTTACATCTGGATGTTGTGACTGGCTAGCATTTCAGAAAAGTTTACCGGTCAAGTGATCACACTTTTCATTGTGCCCGAGACCTTGCACCCTAACAACCAATCAGAAATGTAGAGGGTATCGCAATGCGTAAATGCCGCTATTTTCAGCCATGGGGTTTTCCAAAACTGCTATTTTGTATTTGACAACATCTCGATGTCATTGTGCAAACGTAAATCTTTTCAAGGAGAAATAAAATTGACATAGGTAACTAGAAAACTGATTTAAAATTTTGCTGGACACGAAGACCGACAGCCTTGAACATGTTGAAATTACCGGACATTCTAACTTTGTACCGGTAAAGTGCGGTATATACCAGATAATGGAAACACTGGCAGTGTAAAAACAGCTAACAAAAAAACGCCATTAAGTTGGTGTTCATGGTATCAGAGTTTTAAACCATACTTGACCAAATGTTTTTGGTGAACTGCTGTCTGTGTTTCAGTTACTCCGTACTACAAAAACAAGCTACGTGGACTCTACAACACAGCGATGCAGGATGCAGAAGCAGAGGCTGAGTAAGACTGTTCGGACTGAAAACAAATGAATTGTAACGTTGATCTTATAAAGGGCTTTAATGTATTTTTTGCCTTGAAATGGCTTAAAAGTGAATAAAAAGTCTGGTAGTTCCTATCTTTTTTTTTAATGATGTATAAATAAACATTGTGAATGTGCATTTTTGTCATGTTTCTACTCTAGTCTGAATACATGTTGAAATCTTTAGATGTAGAGTTATCTCCCTTCCATTGATTGTTTGCTTTGACTGCCAATATGAAAAGTAAAATGAACATATGTTTCTGAAATGTCTTTTCATTCGTAAACAGCAGTATGATGTTTGCTTGGTCAAGTTTAACACTGTGTTAGGCAGTCTTATTTTGTAATAAATTTGAGAAATCACATGGAAAGTATTACAAGCGTGAGGGTAACGTGTCATTTGTGAACTATCAGACCTTTGCGGATTAAGGCAGGATATGTCCCTCAAATCTCATGCATTTTGAGCTGACTTATAATTAAGGAGGCTGTAAGAGATTCCATGGCATGATTTTGGTTGCCAGTATACCATGGTTGTGATAATAGTCAACTAAGATTCATACAGATCCTTAAAGAGCCAGGTTGTTACATGATTTAGAAAGTGTGAGTTGACTGATTTTGTGACATTTTGTGCTGATCATTGTGAAGATCAGACAGTTAATGTTTCGACTCTGCAGTGTCATACCCAGATAAGGGTACTTCTTGTATTGATGTGCGTCTCTATGTCTTGTATTGATGTGCGTCTCTATGTCTTGTATTGATGTGCGTCTCTATGTCATATCAACAGACTTCAGAAGATGGTGCATGTATCGTTGTATGGCACTATGCACTTACAGGGATAAAACAAGGACTTAAAGTCAGTATGCTGTTGTGTCCAGTATATCCTTGTTCAGCATTGTTTGTGTGTCTGTGTAAACTGGCCTACTTCCAGACAACTACAAGCAACTGCAAACATGTTTGCATGACAGTTTGCACACAGTGTAAAACAATGTTCGCTCAATAACTACCATCTTGTTATTTGTTGAATTTACAGGTTGCTGAGGAAGGCACTGGACAAGATTAGCGAGATTAAATCCATCCAGAATGACAAAAGACATGGTAAGGAAAGCACCTTACAGTATACCAGAAACAGAGGGTGTTCATATAAATGAACTGCAAACGATGACATTAGATTGGGTAGCCATATTAGCCAAGTAAATAGTTTCTGCTTTGGTGTTTCCATAAACTGAAAACTGTCATGCACACTAACATGCCTATGTACTGCCCTGGAGTGAATCCTGATTAGCTGATAACAGTATTGGCAGAGTCAGGGTTCCATTTTAAGGGAAGCCAGAAACTGCAAATCTCTATTTTTACCCAAACCTTGAGGTTGGCCACCATAGATCGAATCCAGTTTTGGTCCAGTACTGCTGTTGCTGCTGCTGACGGCTCTGAAAAGTCCCATTTCATTTGTACCAAGTGACTTTAAGAAAGTAACTTGTCCTGACTAATGTTCCACTTGCCCAGACTTTATGAAATAATCATGATGATGTAATTATGAAAGAATAAATCAACATGGTATTTGATGTTAATGTTTACTTGACTATTTATTGAAATGTGATACATAGCAAAGAAAGATAACTCTACTTTATTATCATTGCGAAATTTAACATCTACATTTTGAGCAGATATGAAATTAAATCCAAGATTATTTGCAGTTTGAAACCATAAGTGGAAATTATCTAGTAGCACACTGACAAGTAAGATACCATTATTTGATTGCCCGAAATGAAAACTGACTTTTCCCGGTCTCAGGCGATGGGATTTTTTAACCCCTGCTTGTACATATCTTTGTATCCTTCATCTAGAGTTTTTCATGCTCAATATTTTTCAGGGGATGTTGATCGACCAAAGCAGATCATGCGCCGTGGTGTTCTCATGACGATGCTGCAACAGAATGCCGTCACTCTCCCGCTGTGGGTCAGCAAGCCGGGAGAAAAGTGGGTAGCTGCTGTCACATGTTTTGTTTGTTGGTATATGATGATATGCATCAACCCTGTGAAGGTCCGGGTTAGAATTGAACTTCAGCAACCCATGCTTGTTGTAAGTGGCGACTGACGGGATCAGGTGGTCAGACTCGCTGACTTGGTTGACAAATGTCATCATATCCCAGTTGCTTAGAGCGATGCTCATGATGTTGATCACTGGATTGTCTCGTCCAGACTCGATTATTTCAGACCGCCGCCATATAGCTGGACAAAAGAAAACATACTGTCAGCTGGCCTGACCTGTGTGGAAGTGTGGTATCTCGGTGTCTGGCGATTCATTAACTGGTAGATTGACATACATCATTGAATTAAAGTGGCAAGAAAAGTTTAATAAACTTGACTCAATTTATGATTGGATTGTCATTTTGACGTAGCCTGAATCACCCATGAAGATCCGGGGTAGAATAGGTCTTCAGCAACTCATGCTTGCCACAAAAGGCGACTATGCTTGTCGTAAGAGGCGGGATCGGGTGGTCAGGCTCGCTGACTTGGTTGACACATGTCATCGGTCCCCAATTGCGCAGATCGATGCCCATGCTGTTGATCACTGGATTGTCTGGTCCAGACTCGATTATTTACACACCGCTGCCATATAGCTGGAATATTGCTAAGTGCGGCGTAAAACTCAACTCACTCACTCACTCCTTTAAATCATGATAGCAGTACAATTTGAACATTCATTTATTTGTTTATCACACCAACTCCTAAATGCCACTCAAAGGACATTTTGAATTCTTGGCAACCAATACCACATGAACATGAACCTATTTTGAATCTGATTTATTTCTGTAGTGTAACAATTCTCGCTTGTATTATTTCAGACCTCCGCCATTGTGTGGCGCTGTGTCAGCTGACAACAACTACGTTGCCAAGTCCGGCAACAAGGTGGCAGCCAGGGTCAAAGGTCAGGATGGAGAGGAAAACTGGATACTGGCCGAAGTCGTTTCATATAATTCATCTTCCAATAAATACGAAGTGGATGACATTGATGCAGAAGAGGGAAAAGAGTGAGTCATCCAGGGATACATACTGCAATAATTAAAGTGTTTGTTGTGTGGTCATTGTAATTCCCTTATTCTGAACTTGTCATGTGTTATTGCATTCATTTCCCAATAAATGTAACAAATAAAGCGTGACATTAAAGCAGACTGCTGTCACCACTATGGATTCTTGGAGAATCCCCATTTACAGTTGAGGGAACTCCTTTTCTGTTTACGCAGCACAGGACATTTTAGCCATTTTGATACGTATTTAGGATCGCTCAAACCACCTTTTGATACCTGAAACCCAGAAGGAATGATACAAAATACCTGCAGGTTTGCTTCTTCCTGACATATTTATTCCTATTCATTTTAGTCTGAGTGTTGCAGTTCTTTTTACCACTTATTCCAATTACCTGTGAAGATCCGGGTTAGGATTGATCTTCAGTAGCCCATGCTTGTCGTAAGAGGCGACCAACGGGATCGGGTGGTCAGGCTCGCTGACTTGCTTGACACATGTCATCGTATCCCAATTGTGTAGATCGCTGCTCATGATGCTGATCACTGGATTGTCTGGTCCAGACTCGATTATTTACAGACCGCATATACCTGGAATATTGCTGAGTGCGGCGTAAAGCTAAAGTGACTCACTCACTTATTATGATTATCAGGTCCTGCAGACTGTCGGTAGTCCTGGAGAAATCATTATCAACATTCTAAAACACGATAAGCAATGATGAAAATATGATTCATTTTTTTTAATGTGACCGTATATGCCCCATAGATGTCTTATGCATGTTGAAGTATAATTTTTTGTTACTTTGGTGATGTTGCAACTATGGCTTCATGCAATCAACCACTTTGTCAATCATTATGTTTACAGGATATTGAGATGACCAATACTGACAACTGTTGTTCATGTTGGTGTTTGCATACAAACTTTGATTGTCAGAAGTAGTTGTTACATGACTATTAACTGTTTGTTATAGGCGTCACTCCATCAGTAGGAGGAGAGTTGTCCCCCTTCCCATCTGGAAGGCCAACCCAGAGACAGACCCAGATGCTCTGTTCCCCAAGGATACAGTGAGTAGATTTATCATGCTTCGTTAGTGTAGCCTGATTGTGTGTCAAACAGCGTGCAAAATAGCCACTTGCCCGCTATCCGTGGCTAGTAAAAATCCAGTCAGGCCAGTAAATTTTCACAGTCACTGGCCCGACTAGCTAGTGAATTTTCATGGGGTCATTTTGTAAATATATCATTCTCTCCGACTTGATAGGGGCGGTGGGGTAGCCTAGTGATTAAAACGTTGGCTCGTCACGCCAAAGACCCGGGTTCGAAGCCCATTTCTGGTGTCCCCTGCCGTGATGTTGCTGGAATATTGCTAAAAGCGGCGTAAAACCAAAGTCAGTCAGTCAGTCCGACTTCATAAGTTAAAATACACTTTTAAATCATGCAAGATTATGGCCTTATATTATATATAATGATAAAAATGTTCATCATATTTGCAGCTGAATGATAAAGCCCATATCTACATTCACATTTTGTGGGCTGGTAACATTCAGGCATAGCTAGCCTGACCGGCTAGCAAAGTTTGGAAACTATTTGGCACACTGGTGTCAACACCATACTTATGCTCCCAGGTTTCACCAAAGTGGTTCAAATCTTGGGCTTTCCTCACACATGTAGCTTAGAAGCCATGAGATGACTAGAATAATGTTCAACTGACAAGCTGACTCTCTAATCTGTTATAGCCAGGGATATATCTACCTGTTGTGGTGGTGATATGATGTTACCTCAATTATATGATATTGAGTTGTCTCTACTGGTTTATTACACAACTTGCCACCTCTCTAGTCAGTGTTGAACCTTCAACTGGTGTTTTGTCTCACATATACTCCCCCAGATGACACTCAAGATTGAAGAAAACACACTGGTTCCTAGAAATTAGATTTTCGTTCTTCTGAGTACTGGATCCCAGTATCAACATTTGATGTTATACATGGAGGATACTTAACGACCTTCCGAGTAATACCATTTTTATTAAACAAGTTTAGTATTCTGTTCATTACTCTCCAACATAAATTGATAGAAATTGCCTACAGTGTGATGACACTCATCTTTACACGAGTCAAGCATTGTGACATCATAACTGTAAACCATTATGACGTCATACGTCTAGCGGTATTACACTAGTGTAATATTGCAATAAAAATATGACACTGCAGTATCTTCCACAGTCAAGTAATAAAGTAACCTACGTTTATAACTAACTGTGTGATAGAAAAAACTATATGTTGGTTATAGGAAATTGGTTATAATGTAGTCAAACTGAATACAACAAACCACAGGTTTAAATGGACTCAAATTCGCAGTCCCTTTGAGTTGTTATCATAGTTTACTCTATAAATATAATTATTTGTAAATTGTACCCTCCTCCCCCATATCTGAAAGGGATATGTGTTATTATTTTGTGGTTGATATTACTAGAGGAGCCTTGTCCATGATCTGCAGAGTGATTAAAGATACATTTGTTAAAAAAGAAAAGGATGGATGATGTTTGTTGTCTGTTTCAGCTTGTCCTGGCCTTGTATCCACAGACAACCTGTTTCTATAGAGCTCTCGTGGACACACCGCCTAAAGGGGTAAGAACATATGTCCTAAATCTACAGCGTAGGACGCTGTATATTATGTATAGGAGGGAGGAGGGACTCCAAAGGTTTTACATTTTATGTCAAAACCGAGGGGAAGTGTTTTCCCTAACATATAACTGTCAATGATGGATAATTATAATGTAGATGATCATTTAATGAAGCAACAATAACTGAAGTGCAAGTAAAATAAATTTAATGACAGTAACTATAAATAGATAATTTAACCCCATTGTCCTAAATCTACAACTTAGGGCGTTGCATATTATGCATAGGAGGAGGAAGCGATTCCAAAGGTTTACATTCTCATACCAAAACCGAGGGAAGTGTTTTCACCTAACATATAAACCGTCAATGATGGATAATTATAATGTAGATGACCTGTTTCAAGTAAAATAAATTTAATGACAGTAACTATAAATAGATAATTTAACCCCATTGTCTTCGTCGGGGCGGTGGGGTAGCCTAGTGGTTAAGGCGTTCACTCGTCACTCCGAAGACCCGGGTTGGATTCCCCACATGGGTACAATGTGTTAAGCCCATTTCTGGTGTTCCCGGCCATGATATTGCAGGAATATTGCTAAAAGCGGCGTAAAACCAAACTCACTCACTCACTCGTCGGCTCGGTGGCCGTGAGGTAGTGTCCGCTCAAAATCTGAAAGATGCGGTTCCAATCTTGCTTCAGAAAACATTTGCACTTTGAAATTGATCTTGGACGATATTTTTCAATTGATTTCAAACACTCATATATCATTATATAGAGTTAGGAAAGAATAATTACAAAAAGTAAAACCTGGCAAGAGGTCTTACTTGCAAACAAAAACCTCAAATGCAGTTATTCTGGGAAAACAAGAGATGCTTAATATATAGTGAGAAGCACACTTCAGGTTTATATATCAAGTCAATCATTTGACTAGCCATGTGCTTGTTTGTGTTGTTGGTTTGGTGCTTAACACAGCACGCAGCAATATTTCAATTGTTAAGTGTCAGTTGTTAAGTTATGCATCAAGCTGGTAAGCCTGACATCCTAATCCTGTTATTTGCCTCTTTAAAGGGGCATGGGTTGCTTCTGACCAATTCTGACCACCTCCGTGGTGTAGTGTTTAGAGCATCCACCCGGGAGAGCGGAAGGTCGTGGGTTCGATCCCCGACCGCATCATACCAAAAGACGTTAAAATATGGTACTTGTTGGTCCCTGCCTGGCGCTCGGCATTAATGGGTACATCAAGGACTGGTCGGCTCGGAGTCAGTATAAAGTGTCTGAGTGGGGTATTCATGCTTCACTGCGGCATGGTATCTCGGTGGGCTAGCACTATAAAACCAGCCTAAGTCTGGGCTAGTACAAGCAGCCGCACATACACATACATACGCTTGCACGTCGTCATATGAGCAAAATATTCTCAAGCACGACGTTAAACCCAATTTCACCTCACCTCTGACCAATTCTAACCGAGATCTCCATGGGTCTGTCTTGTAAAGACTCAATTAATTCATAAAGAGCACTGAGTGAGTGAGTTTGGTTTTACGCTGCTTGTAGCAATATTGCAGCAATATCACAGTGGGGGACACCAGAACTGAGCTTCACACTTTGTACCCATGTGGGGAATCGAACCCGGGCCTTCGACGTGAGGAGTGAACGTTTTAACCACTAGGCTACCCTACCGCCCCCAAGAAGCATTGAAGAAAAAAAACAAAGTGTAAACTTTTCAAGCATGTAAGCCCAGACCAACTGCAGTGTAAGAAAGTGCAATATGTCCTCCTTATATATTCTTGTATGGGGACCTGCCAGATACTTTGAGGAGAGTATTTCAGTGCTGTTTACCTATGTTGCAGCCCCAAGATGACTACTCGGTGCTGTTTGAGGACACCTCCTACCATGACGGCTACTCCCCACCACTGATGGTGGCACAGAGATATGTGATAGCTTGTAAAGAAGACAAGAAGAAGTGAGCTACAGTGTACAGGAGAACTCATGCTTAGGGCAGAGCATGGACAAATGTGATGGACAAAGTGTCACAGTAGGATCGGCCTTGTGGAGACCTGCTACAGTGCTGGGACATGATCATTTGTAATTACATTTGAAGTGAATTGTTTCAAGATTTTGCATTTTGCTGAAATACTGCCAGGATGTAATCGGGACAATGTTTATACATACAATGTACTTGATAGTAAGCCAGAGATCAACATGACAAACTTGTGAGGCTTTTACTGGATGTTTATGTACCAGCCAAGAGAAGTTAATCTGTCATGGCTGGTGTGTGTTGTAGCACAGAGCCTTCCAATTGTGGGTTACCTTAATCTTGTTTTGAGAAGTTACGTAATAGGTAATATATTTCCCCTTTCATCATTTATTTGCAGTGTCAAGTATGTTAAGTTAGTGAAAATAGTACGCACTTACTAAAAAAACACACATTGAAATAATGATTTTCCATAGATAACTTTCTGTAAGAAATGTGTTTTCGTATGAATTTACTTTGGGAAGGGCATTATCTGTAATTACAGTTCCTAGAGATGGGAGAGGCATCTAAGGTGTCAATACTTCTGACTGCTCTGGCTGGCCATTGTCGGATGTTATCTGTAGTTACAGTTCCTAGAGATGGGAGATACATCTATGGTGTCAATACTTCTGACTGCTCTGGCTGGCCATTGTCGGATGTTATCTGTAGTTACAGTGCCTAGAGATGGGAGAGGCATCTATGGTGCCGATACTTCTGACTGCTCTGGCTGGCCATTGTCGGATGTTATCTGTAGTTACAGTGCCTAGAGATGGGAAAGGCATCTATGGTGCCGATACTTCTGACTGCTCTGGCTGGCCATTGTCGAATGTTATCTGTAGTTACAGTGCCTAGAGATGGGAGAGGCATCTATGGTGCCGATACTTCTGACTGCTCTGGCTGGCCATTGTCGGATGTTATCTGTAGTTACAGTGCCTAGAGATGGGAAAGGCATCTATGGTGCCGATACTTCTGACTGCTCTGGCTGGCCATTGTCGGATGTTATCTGTAGTTACAGTGCCTAGAGATGGGAAAGGCATCTATGGTGCCGATACTTCTGACTGCTCTGGCTGGCCATTGTCGGATGTTATCTGTAGTTACAGTGCCTAGAGTTGGGAGAGGCATCTATGGTGCTGATACTTCTGACTGCTCGGGCTGGCCATTGTCGGATGTTATCTGTAGTTACAGTGCCTACAGATGGGAGATACATCAATTGTGCCGATACTCATGATACCGAGTTCCATTCCTCACTGTCGATGTCTGTTTGATTCCCCAAATTTCCTGGCACATGCCGTTAGGGAATGAAACCAGGACTATAAAGACCCCAATCAGCATCATACCCATAGTCTTGGATGATGTCATGGACAATATATTGCTCAAAAGTCTGTTTTGAGGATTATGAATAAAAGTCTGTTTTGATCTTCGTCATCCTGATTGTAGCTTACACAGGACACTCCATACTTCATACACTCTGACATACTGCCTGCAGAATGGAAGAGGTTGATGGTGCTTTCCAAATTTTAATGAACAGTTTTTCTTATTTCTCCACCTAACCCATGTCGGGTCTGTATCTGTATCTTGTATGAGTGGAATGGATATATACTCATGGAAACAAATAAGGGAACACATGAAAGTACAAGTGTTCCATTATTCTTTTCCAGGTTTCTTCACAAGGTATGTATTGGACTGTGAGTGAAATTCTGGAAATAACTTAAGGAACACTTGTACTAACTTTCATGTGTTCCCTTATTCATTGATATGAGTATATTATTACCATGATAGGCCGAAATCAAATCCTGCTTACTCTTTCGGCTGTGCTAGCGATGTGGTGCTCAGCAAGCTGTGACATGACAATGACTTTTCAAGTGACTTTGGTTGAAAACCCCAGAGAATGTTTCTGAGCATTATTTTTAGCATCATACAGTAAATATAACAGCGAAAATGGGTGGGTTGTAGAATATGGATGGGGGTATGTAATGTAAAAGAAAAGTGGACATATGTTACCCTGGATAACTGACATCACATAAATGACAAGACGATGAAGTCAGTTAGTTTGTCATTGTATTGCATAGCGTGATGCTCATGCTGTCAGTCACTGGATTGTGTGGTCCAGACTACTATCATATAGCCGGAATATTGCTAATTATGGCATCAAACAACACACATATTATATGTTGTTCATTTGTCATCACCACGGTCACAGTGATCTCTGCATGATCTCTTGTATATTTCCCAGGGAGTTGAGAACGATGACAAGTATGCACCCACTAGAAGGGGAACAAATAAACCACATTTTTTTCAGGTACGAGTACTTGGATAAGTGCAGTATATAAATGAATAATGTAGTATGATAATAATGATGATAATATCTGAGGTCGCAAATTGTCCTTATGTGTTGACATGGAATGCTACAGTGAATACTGAGCTGCATAGTATTCATAATCAAATACATATACTTATTTCATGCACATTAACTCATGAACAACATATGGCTTTTTCAACTCGTCCCTTGTTTGTGTATATTTGCCGTGTATTTTTATGTTTAGTTACCATGGTTACCTGTTGTGTCATTATTGTTTATGTCCTTGCCACTAACATGTTTTATAGCTACATGTTGTTAATCGTTTACACAAGGTCAAAAGAATGAAGTTGTAATGAAGTCAGTTTCATTTTTTTTCACTAATATTTGGCTTATGTTGGACAGCAGGATTGGCCTGGTGTGTTTGATAATAATAATTATAATTGTGAATTTATTATGTGCCTTTTTTCTAGAAGGCACATGCTCAAAGCGCTAACACACAATCTGATTATTATTACCCTGGATAGCCCAAGCTGCCTGTGAGGCACTAGAAGGTTAATAGTCACATGACTTATCCCACCAGGTACCCATTTTCTGCTTAATCATGTCTGGGTCTGATGAACAGTGTTCAAAGGTTCAAAATCATAGTGAGCCATGATATTATGTCAAGTCTGGTAATATGACTGACTGAGTATGGTTTTATGCCGTTTTTAGCAATATTCCAGCAATGTCACGGCGGGGGACACCAGAAATGGGCTTCACACATTGTACCCATGTGGGGAATCGAACCCGGGCCTTCACCGTGACGAGCGAACGCTTTAACCACTAGGCTACCCCACCACCCTCTGGTAATGTGAGATTATTGTCTCAGGCATTGTCCAGTTTCATCCTTTCGACATAACAGAAGCTTGTAATTTTGTGTTTAAGTCATATCCATTCTTCTTTCACCAAAGACTCACATATTTGGGCTCATATCATCAGGCTTGTCTACCACATTTAACCAAGAAGACTCACCCACCCACCCACCCAGTGCAATGAAACCTCATTAGTCCCACCCTGTGTTTTCAAATATCCTCCCTCTGGGCAATCCTGCTGTCTATGATTGCTTAAGAAGATGTATTAATCATCCATAATCTCCAAATTAGCTGATATCGGTTTGAACCATGCCGTCCTCATTGGTGAGGTTTCTGGTATAAGTAGTGCTGTGCATTGGACAGTTTATTCTTTCAGTCTGTCCATTGCAGTGTGGTAACAGTGAATCAGTTAGTTGCTGACACAAACAGTTACTGTCAAAGTGGATCAGTTGTTGCTGCTGCTGATGTGAATAAAGACTACCTGACCAATGAGACGTGCTATGTTATGTATTAGAGATTTGGAAACATGATTAACCATTTGGGCAAACCGATTGAAAAACATTCTGGATGTTTTGTCATTCTACACACATGTAGAAATTCTGTTGCTATATGCTATTCATCTCACTTTACACGTGTTACATGTAGTGAGTGAGTTTAGTTTTACGCTGCACTCAGCAATATTCCAGCTATATGGCGGTGGTCTGTAAATAAAGTCTGGACCAGATAATCCTGTGATCAACAACATGAGCATCAACTTACCCAATTGGGAACCGATGACATGCCAACCAAGTCAGCGAGCCTGACCACCTAATCCCGTTAGTCACCTCTTACGACAAGCATGGGTTACTGAAGATTAATTCTAACCCACATCTTCACAGGTATGTTACATGTAGCATATGCTACACCCATGTAGATGCTGTGTGACATGTTACATATAACACCTGTCCTTAAGGAACTCATGGTTTTAGAGTGACAAGCTGTGTGCTACACCATCTTGATATCTTGACATACTACATGCTGTCCACAAGGTATTGTGTTGAAGGGACCTGTGTAAATACTTAATCGAGGTTCAACAGTATTGCAGTATCATGACTAGATAAGGAATATGCAAGGACCAAGCATTACTTCAAGACAATCAAAAGATTGACACAACACTGTTTGACAATATACTGTGTGACATTCAACTCACATCTAGGTTTATGGGACATTCCACTGCAATCAAGTTGGCATGTGACATGCTGGAACTAGGTATTGCATGACATCCTACAACTGGTTAGGAGTTGTGCAACATGCGGGGCGGTGGGGTAGCCTAGTGGTTAAAGCGTTGGCTCGTCACGACCGAAGACCCGGGTTCGAATCCCCACATGGGTTCAATGTGTGAAGCCCAGCCATGTTGCTGGAATATTGCTAAAAGCGGCATAAAAACCAAACTCACTCAGTTGTGCAACATGCCACTGACATCTTGGGACTGTGTGACATACTGCAGCCATCTAGTATTACAGCACATGATAGAACCATCTAGGTATTGTGTGAAGTGCTATATTTGACAGGCTACAACCATCTAGGTTTTGATACAATCAATCTTCTATACTAATCTTGGTATTGTCAGACCTGCTATGTACTTCACTCATATAGATAGTACTACATTCTATACATGTCAAGGTATCACGTGACAAAGTTATGATTGTCAATTTGGAGGGGAAGGGGTCGAAACCACACCACCCCACCCCTGTAAATGACTAAAGACCACACTGATGTTAATGTTTTGCATTGGCAGAGCCGGGGGGGTGTCACAACACCCCCTTTGATAAATACTGGATCCACCTGTGATTGTGACATGCTATACCTACCAACTGACTAACATCTTTGTGTCAAAGTAAAGTAAATCCTTCAGAGGATATCAGGGGCTAAACAGCAATCTTAAGTACATGTAGACTGCAAACAGCGATCCTGGTATTGTATGACAAGCTCAAGCTGCAAGCTCAAAGATCTTCTGTGACAACAGTTTCTTGGAATTGAAACTTCATGCATGTCCTTGAGGTTTGTTTACAACTATATTGAACTGGATTCCAACCTTGAAGTTCAGCACCCAGTGCCTGTAATAGGTGAGGTGAGGTGAAATTGGATTTAACGTCGTGCTTGAGAATATTTCGCTCATATGACGGCGTGCATGCGTGTGTATGTGTATGTGCGGCTGCTTGTACTAGCCCAGACTGAAGCTGGTTTTATAGTGCTAGCCCACTGAGATACCATGCCGCAGTGAAGCATGAATACCCCACTCAGACACATTATACTGCCTCCGAGCCGACCAGTCCTTGTTGTACCCATTAATGCCGAGAGCCAGGCAGGGACCAACAAGTACCATATTTTAATGTCTTTTGGTATGACGTGGTCGGGGATCGAACCCGTGACCTTCCGCTCTCCGGGCGGACGCTCTAACCACTACAGCACAGAGGCGGTCAGCAGTAATAGGCGACTGATGGAATGAGTGGTCAGTCTCACTGATATAGTTGATGTACGTCATTGTATTCCACAGCTTATGGAGTCAATCACAGGATAGTCTGATCCAGACTGAAATGCCTATGGAATGTTCCCTGCTGTCACGTTAACAACAAACAAACAGATCTTAGCCTGACTTTCTGTTAGGTGTGTGACTGCACTGTGTATGGGGTATGTTCCACAATGACTGTACCAAGCTCAGAACTGTTCAAAACAGCAAAGTTAAAGTTGCCCAGTGAGCATCGTCTTACAGCATAAAAATACAAAAACATTCTTTGATAAAAATTATTTCATTCTAACTTTTGCATGTTAACATATAACATTGTTAAATACTTGACATGAGTTGGATTTATTACATATGCTAGTGTATAAATATAACAAACTTACATCTTTTGCATACCAAAAAAAGGATGCAGGTGACCATTCTTGGGAGGGAGACAGCCATCAATTAAATTAACAGTAAGAACACCTGTAGTACTCCTTTCCTGTACAGAGACGCTTCAAAAGTCCATCTGAAGAAATATATCTCTGATCCCATGGACAACTCTGTGGTGTAAGAGTTCTGTCATAACTGCATTTGGGCGCCAGTGGGCCTACAACAATTACCTAATCGTATTACCTGTTGTCCAGGGGAATGTAAGCCTGGACTCGCCTGGTCTGTCGTGGGTTCTGAGGGAACGGACCACCTGACTTCTAACTGTCCACATTCATGCACTGGCGTGCATTCATAAAATGATTAATGCAACATCAGGCTCTATACTCACATAGGTTTACTTTGCCTCAGTCCATATTACAACTTCAACACCCAACAGAATTGGCTCAGCCAGTAGTGGGAAACAGTGACAGCTATCCATCTACGCCCAGTGAGTGAGGGAGGTAGGTTTTACACTGCTTTTAGCAATATTCCAGCAATATCACAGCGTGGGATGCCAGAAATGGGCTTCACACATTATCAGTCCATTGCAAAGCCTGCACATGCACAACTCTACTAGATATAAACAAGGGCAATGGCAATGCCGCATTTGTCCGCCAGATAGCAAAGACAGAGGTCAAGCTAGCTGTATGATGCACAGGTTGATGTCCGCTATATATGTGACAGCCAAACCACTGAATTGTCTATTCCTCTCTATGCCTTCAAAGTTTATTCTTCATTTCTTTCTGACTATATATTTTTCACTATCTTCCTTCTTTGCGGCTTTAGAGACGATTAATTGACTGTAACAAAGGAAAAAGAGACAGATAAAATTGTGAGACACTACTCTCAGGACAAACAAGGTTAGTAGGGTGGAAGGGAATCTATCCAACTACCATCAGAAAACATTATCCGAAAAAATCTGTTCCTTTATTCAACGATATTCAACTTGAAATTCGTTGTCCTTTTCACGGATGTTATCAGACTAAATAAAATACAGAATGTATATAGAATCGAAGATGTCATGAGCTAGAGCATTTGGATGTTTTGTATTGAACTCGAAGATGTCATGGGAGCAGGTCAAGCGCATTAATCAGCCTATGAACGAGTTCTCCCATGACATCTTCGAGTTCAATACAAAACATCCAAATGCTCTAGTATGACGTTAGAACTATGTTTATTATATGTATACCCTCTTATCTTGCATTAATCTGTTACTTAATAAAACAAATCATTCAGTAGCAATGTAGAACCGGCAGGGGTTCAATACGGAATCTGGGCTGCAATACGTAATTTGATGACGTCGTCCGTATTGCACCCCTAATTACTATCCTAAGTTGACATGGGTAGTGGCTTACCACAAGTTAGCATGTCCTAGCAAAATACGCCTAACATTATACAAAATCTAGATTCTAAAGCGCTAAATAGTCTCAATTTATTCATACCATTCTGTGTCACCTCGTGGTTCACCGTTCTGCATTCTGCATTGCGCCTTTTCTTTCTGCATGCTTTAAATAAATTACCCGGTCTTGCCGATAGTCAAATAGAGTGCCCTCCCCTTGGCTTCAGGGAATCGAGGAAGCGCACATAAAATAATATCAATATGATCAGGCCGTTACAATATGGATTATGTCAGAGGTAACGGGAAAGCTACTCCACAATGTTGGAGTGAGTGAGTTTGGTTTTACGCTGCTTTTAGCAAATTTCCAGCAATATCACGGCGAGGGACACCAGAAAAGGGCTTCACACATTGTACCGGTGCGGGGAATCGAACCCGGGTCTTCGGCGTGACGAGCGAACGCTTTAACCACTGGGCTACCCCACCGCTCCCCGCGTTGTTGGAGGACTATAACTGGTGTAGTAGGAATTAATCTTTTAACTGAAACGCTTTTAACCATCTGACACACACATCTTCCAAAAAATCTACAGACTGTGTGTCTTTGAATTTGTAAATTGGGGCAATTAAATAATAGATCAGAAGAGCAGAAAGTTCGTCAAATGCAAAAAATCGTTAAATGACTTTCAGCTGTCATCATGAGGTTATAGGGAAAAGACAGAGTTGTGAGACCATAATCTCACGACAAACAAGGTAGGTGAAGTCCCCCATCCAAAGTGTAGGCTGGAAGCGAATCTATCCAACTACCCTATAATTAAATTATCCGAAATAACCTGTTCCATTTTTATGCATGGGTAATAAGGCGTGAATGAACTTGAAACTCTTTTCCTTTTTACGGATGCTATCAAACACTTTATTATCAAGTGAAACATGTTGAATTCTAAACACAAAAAAAACAACCAGGAGAGGTCGTAAAACTTTCAAAAGGTTGTAATGTCGACGAATTGAAAAATTCCGATAGGAGTACAAGATTAATGGGTACAGTATAGAAGCCATTGTCTGTTTTTCTAACAGTTATGAATTCTCATTTAATCCGAATCTGAAATCACAGAAGGATTTTATTTCTTGTGCTTTGTATCCTACTGAATTAATGAAAATATAAATGAGATATCACGAGCTCCCGTATATACATCCATGAATACATTGGGGTGTATATGAAGAGGGTAAATCAAAATATATACTATGCTCTGATAAATCATGTAAATTGGTAAATTGTTAATTCGACGTGCAAGGACTTCGTTGATGTACAGATTTTCTGTCAAATTCCCCTGACCACCACTAAATCAGATCTTTGTGTGCTGGATATCTCACCCCACTCCATGACACTGTCTCCACCGAATCTGTCGATCTGACGAATGCAACTAGGGACAAAACGTTCATTTCTCCGACGGTAAACACGCTGTCTTCCATCTCGCCGGTGAAGAAGAAATCGTGATTCATGACTGAACCAGACTCGCCTCCAGTTTCTAAGGTTCCAGTTCCGGACTCTACGACACTACCGAAAGCGATTGCACCGATGTAAGTATCTCAGAACAAGAACGACAACTGGCTTTCTTGGTCGAATCCACACTTCACGCAATCGATTCCTGACAGTTTGATCGGAATTTCTTCCCAAACCAGGGATGTGTTGTACAGTCTCCACGACTGTGGCAAGACGATGACGCAGGTGAGCAACCCGGACGTAGCGGTCCTGGGCATGGGAGGTAACTCTTGAACGGCCGCTCCTCTCCTCGGGCGATATTGGTCGGAATTGGTCTGCAGGAAACGATCCCAAAGACGAGATATGGTGTTCTGGTGAACGTTGAAATGTCGGGCAACTGCAGACTGCGACTCCCCTGCTTCAAGGCGGCAGTATGGCGATGTTTCGATTGGCGGGGGCACTTAGTCGTGACATAATGATTTCCTCTTTTCCATGCAAAATGGATGACAAAATTAAACACAACGTTTGCCTTTTTATAGTGATCGATACCGCGTGCTTTTTCGATTTCTTGCACGTGCAATTTCCTATGCATGTTTTCTTGGTGACGTTTTCTTCAAACGCATCTAAAACAAGGGGAACAGTTAAAATTGGCACTAAAGCTGTTTACAATCACACAAACATGACGTTTTGGAAAGAAATAATATTATAATTGTATTGGTTTTGCCACAGCTACATGAGTCCAATATTCTCAAAATCACATATGCGTTTTTTTTTGAAGAGTGTACCATATGCGGGAAAGAATATATAGTTTACAAATGTCAATCTTGAAAGAGGATGATTCATTTCAGCCATTTAATACTACAGAAGAAGTATTAGAAAGTTTTTAAAATCTTTTTCAAACGAATGTATTTGAGATGAGAAACAGTAACCCTAAAACGTTTTGAGGTATCTTGAAATCATTAGGTCCTGTGAAACTGAAATAAACAAATTGATTAGCTATTAAAAATTGAAAACAAATATACATATACATTGCTGTAAATACAATTAAGACGTTTCTGTAAAGGTGCTAAAGGATACGTCAAGAATCACGAGTCATGCTTGCAGTATTGAGAAACGTTAGAACCTAAATCCCAGTTAATGCTGTTTGATCAGCTTGTCCAACCCAAAGTACTGTGTGCTTCGGAGTTCTGGGGCTAGGACAATATACGAATCATTGGAACGTCTTCATTTAAAGTTTTGTACGTACATTCTTTCGGTAACCCCTGATCGTATGGTATACGGCGAGTTTGGACGATATCCGCTAAATATTTCTTCTAAAATGATGAGATTTGCAGACAGACTGTTATGTAAACTATAATCTCTCGTGTATACCCTGAAGTTACAAACCTTATTAAGATATAATCAGTTTCATCCTCATCTTCTGGAACTACCTCTAAATCATAGAATATGTGACACCTTTAGAACAGCTAATGCTAGTTTACTGATAGAAGCTGGAAGATGGCGTCACGCTGTTAGATCTTAGGGACAATGTACATCAACGAAGCAGTGGGCGATTAATATCACTTCCTCTTAACATGCCAACGTTTAGCAACCCTTAGAAAACAATACGTAAGTATTTTTGTAATAATTCCTCAGTAGATACGTTTTACCACAATTTTGAAATCAGGTTATGACCCAGTACTGTTACTGTAAAATTAGCTCAGGTATATTAAGGAAGGTTTATGTTTGTATCAATTAAATCTATCACGAACGTGTTTACAACTCGCCGATGTCATGTAAAAATCATATCATTCATATTTTCGTGGCCATCCGTATCACTACAACACACTGGAAACAGTGATGCGTTCGCGCAAGCTGTGCCTCAGTGAATACACAGAATGGACAACAATTTGATAATGTCAAGTGACCCCATGTGTAAAACTGCCATTGAATATAGCTCCAGCGTAACAATCTATCTGACGATAAAAGAAAAACACTCGTCCGACTTTAATATATACGCTCAATCATATATAGCGGGTTTGTCGGGTTTCTCAGTGCGGAGGAGTCATACTGCATGCTCCCAATATTCTGCAAGAAAAAGAAAATAGATTGTTCCTGGCCTGCTGGTATCCCGACTGTGACTAAAACAGTGAGTGTGTATATATCATATTATGTAGTATTGTATATAGATAACTAATTAGCATTCTCGCAGCCCATCGGCCGTTGTGTGTAGCTTGTGTGCAGTTCTTTGGGGCTGTGTGTAGTTATCAGGTGTTGTGTGATGCTATTACGGTTTGTGTGTAGTTATTAGGCCTTGTGTGTCACTATAACGTATTGCGTATAGCTATGAGGTGTTAGGTTTAGCTGTCAGCATTTGTGTGCAGCTATATGGTTTTGCGTGTAGCTATGAAGTGCGTTTATCTATGAGCTTTTTTGTGTAGCTATGAAGTGTTGCGTCTAGCAATGAGCTTTTTTGTGTAGCTTTGAGGTTTGTGTGAAGCTATTAAGTATTGCGTGCAGCTATGAAGTTTAACCTGTAGCACTGAGGCACTATTTGGAGCTATATTGAGTTGTGTGTAGCTACTAATTGCCCACAGGCAGATTGGTTGCTCTGAGAAAACAAACAGTGATCGTGCCAATCTCCATCCCACAAACCAGTTTATCTTAGCATCCAGAGCCTAGATTTTCGAAGCTCTCTTAGCGCTAAGATAGTCGTAAGTGTCATTCAGTGACATTCTTAGCGCTAGGGAGCTTCGAAAGTCTAGGCCCTGTCAGAGTTCACAACAGGAACCACTTGTACGAAGCGATCTTAGCGCTACGATAGTTTTAGGCCTATGTTAAAGTATGGGAGGTACGATCATCGAAGAGCTAAGATCGCTTTGTGCAAGCGGGCCCTTGTATAAGTAAATATAGGTCTGGGATTTTCACAAACAGTCATGGTAATGCGCGCTGTTCTAAGCTTAGGCCTAAATGTGTTCTTGGTTTGTCTCTCTCAGCGAAACAAGAGACGAAAAAATACATTTAAGTTATTTCGAAATAGCAGGGTGTTTTCACCCGCTTATATTAGAACTCTAATATCTATTCATTCGGGTCACCTCTGTTGGTGACAAAATAAGTATTAGCTCCCACCAGGGATTCTCTTTGAGGAAGATCAATGGCCCGTGATGGCGATAGCTATGAACCCGTCTTTTGAAAACCCGGGTCATATCAGCTTTTCGTAGGTATCGAGGTCACGTCCTTTTCACATCGTAACATCAAAACCTTAACCGACTTTAAAAGTACACTTCGACATAAAGATGAAGAGAGATGTAACGTGTTCATAAATAGTTCACCCATACACCGAATGTGTGTGGCTCCGGTCTATAATGCCGGTTTTATAGTGGTAGGCCATTGTGATGCCGCAGTGTAACGCGGCTAGCCCACTCAGACAGTGAGTGAGTGAGTTTAGTTTTACGCCGCACTCAGCAATATTCCACCTATATGGCGGTGGTCTGTAAATAATCGAGTCTGGACCAGACAATCCAAGTGACCAACAGCATGAGCATCGATCTGCGCATTTGGGAACCGATGACATATGTCAACCAAGTCAGCAAGCCTGACCACCCGATCCCGTTAGTCGCCACTGACGACAAGTATGGGTTGCTGAAGATCATTCTAACCCGGACCTTTCCCGGGTACTCAGACAGTATACTGACTCAGAACGAGTCCTTGTTTCAACATATTAATGCCGAGCGTCAGGATTGGTAATATCAAGTATCTTTTAACGTGTTTACAGTTAAAACAAAAAATATGGCTGTATGGAGGTGGCCGAATACAGGAAAATAGGACGTTCTGAAATTTATAAAAATATACTAGTCATATGGGACACACTGACTTGTGGTCCCCTGTCACACTTTATTGTCGAGTG